TATTCTCTTTATCGATAGGTATGCAGAGTTTAGAGCATTTCTTATTTATAACTTTAACTGGCCACATGATGGTAATGTAAAGAATCTAATTCAACATTTTATAATGATTATGAGAAAGTGAGAATCACAAAAACAATAAGACAAATACAACACAACATTTAACAGATGTGCAAAGAAAAGCGGGTGGTTTTTATAGACGTTGGCCTAAATGAAAGTATTTTATTATTCAATTTGTCTTGGTTGTTTAAGTGGAAAATTTAAAAACAATGAATATTTTTTAGTTAACCACTAATAGGAGCATTTCCAATGATTAGATACTCTTTAGATATTGAATAACCAACATTTGAGTTTAAAAAAATTTGCTTAGTTCTTTATGTCAATGGTAAGATACTCAATGAATTTCTCATGAATATAATAAATAATATATTTTAAAATATTTCATTAATTTGAGAATTTTAATATTTGTCAAAGAATTTAAATATTTATAAATAAAATAATTAGTCATATTTTGAACTATAATAATAAATATAATAAAATTACCAATTTTAATAAGCTTAATACCAATATTACTAATACATTAAATCTTTTTTTTTTATAACACAGAAATAAAAAAAATACTTATATCATCGAACAAACTTAATACCATAAGCAACCACGTTAAACCTGTCATCGAACAACTTCATCCCATAGGCACTCTTATCTGGTCCATCTCTTAATCTCCGAGCTGCATCGTATGTGTAAGCAAACACAACTTGAAAATTTTGCATTTGCAAATCACAGACGATCCCGCGGAAATCAATATCACTTGTGATCACGAGCACTAGTCACCCTGTGTTATTATGCATACGTAGGTGACTACGCATCCAAGTTTTTACTCCAGCGATGTCTTTTTTGTCCGCAGCGTCTGTTGACTTCCTTGTAGCTTTTTCGACGTGGACAATCGAGACATTTTGGTTCTCGGTCCATTCATTCCTCTGATTAGAAGTGAAACAGTTGTTAACATTTCCAAAGCTTGTTATCTCAACCGGACCATAAAATCGCAATCATTTGAGGGACTTTTCAATATTAGCATGAAACGAATAGAACAAGTATTCTTCTAGTATTTTAGCGTTCTCGAAATCCCATAATGTATAAACCTTGTTGTTTTGGGGATTAGGATTCACTCCACATACGTCGAAGTAACAATCGCTCGAAAGCATTTTCAAAAACATCAAATCTTTTGGAGCCTAAAAAAAACATCAAATCTATATAAGATAAAAAAAATATCAAGTCAATTTATATATTTGATTGACACAATCTTGAAGTCATAATTGACAACCAATTGGATGAGAAAGGCTCTTTGACCTTATTCAAACAGTGTAACTTGATAATGACTAGGTTTTGCAAAACATTTTCATTGATGAAGATGAATCCAAAATTGTATGTTTATAATTTATCACAATCGTTAGTTTTAGAAGAAGAAAAAAACAATTTAGAGGTTGGCCACATTTTGCACATATTGACAATGAATAAGTGGTGAAACAATATTCAAATCGGCGAAACAGATTTGATTTAGGTTAAATAGTGTTTGTTTTTCTTTGATGATCCTAATTTTTTTTCTCATCAACTACGATTGGAAGGAAGCTAAATTGTTGCTGATATAACAAATCACCCAAAAATTTTCACAGTTCTAATGAATTATGTCTATGCTAGCGGCATTATGAGTGCTGGTATAAGTTCTCTGATATCTTGGTGTTTTAACAATTCAAACATTTAGTATGTGTTGTTAACATGAATTTTTTTTGTTTGTGTCGGCAATTGATCAATATACTATTTGCAACATCTTTAATTGTGAACATCACGTGTCGTCATTGTTTTGAAGGTTACGACATGTTTTGACTTTAATTATACATGTTTTTAAATGGTTTTTACTAATTCTATTTCTTTCATGTCATAGGCCATATTCAAGAACTTGTTAGACATAGAATTGTCCTCTTTAATTGCCCTACTAGCGGTTGCAACAAGTTTCTGAATTCGTCGGCGCTTCCATTTGAGACTCGGTCTAATTATACACGTCTACTCCTGCAAGACTTCATTTTGAAGACGGTTGTTCGAAATCCGCATCCAGTTGTTCATCTCAGAAGAGGTAACAATAGAAATTATAATAGACTTCACATTCTTTAATATGTAGAGGTTGTTGATTTTTTTTTGTTAAACAAGACTGGATTTCATTTAGAATAACAAGACCACTGTATTGGCAATTGGAGTTGTTGGAGCTGCTGCGTTGGGGGATCAAAGACATTTGAATGGCGTCAAAAGCATCTTCGTATGTGGAGGACGTTGGGAATTATCTGCAACCAACGTAAATAATTGTTTTTTATTTTTTTATCCATATTCTCTAAAAAAAATACAAAGTAGAAAATGATGAAAAGTTGGTTCGTAAGAAATGTAAATTTAAACTGAAGCGAATCAAACACGAACTTATAAATGCAAAGTTAGCACCGTTTTCTGGAGATATAAAAAAAGTTTGAGAAGTAGAAGAAACGTAAACAGAATCAATACCATCAAAACAAAAAGATCATCCATAAATTTTTTGATTATCAGCTGAAGGGTATAGTGACGCTAAATAGGAAGAAGTTAGCTACCAAGATGAATAGAGATGCCTATATATCGATGAGTAACTACAAGTTTTTATTCTCTTTATGTATTTGATATGGTATGCAGAGTTTTAGAGCATTGGCCACGTGATAGAAACGTGACAAAGAATCTAATTCGACATTTTATAATGTTTAGAAGAAAGTGAGAATCACAAAAACAATAAGCCAAATACAACACAACATTTCATAGATATGCAAAGAAAAAGTGAGTCGTTTTTATAGACGTTAGGCTAATTATTGTAATTGATTATTCAATTTCGTACTCGTATTTGTCTTGGTTCAATACTTGGAAAAGCTAAAGAATAATAAATTCTATAGAAGAATTCTTTTAATAAGTTAAAGCCACTAATATTGAACTCAGTTTTGTCTCTTTATGCTCTGTTTCTCTGCTAACATCATCAATCCAAAAGACGTCTCCCTCTCTCTCTTACGGCACAGCTCCAACCACAGAAATCTTGAACACATGTCTTTGACTGACAATAGTTCCGTACAGACAAGACAGTAATACTTCTGATTTGTGAAGAAAAAATTAATTT